TTTCATAGGAATGGTTGGCATGAAGCTAATGTAGTGCTTGTACTTAACTCAACCTTTGCTGGATTCACCAGGATTAAGGCTTGTTAACATGTTTGCAAATCAGGTTCTGTACCACTGAGTACTTTCTAGTAGTAGCGCTGACTTGGTTAGTAGTATGCTGCTACAATTATAACTTAAAATCCTTCTTCCTGCATCATCATGGCTAGGCTTCCCCTACAAAATAAGGGCTACCTTTTATCGAGATCAGATTTTTTTTATTCAGTCACACAGTGGCTGGAGAGACTTAGGCACACCTACCAAATCTCATGCTTGGTTATTTATTGCTTTTCTTCCTGGCATTCTCTTGCGTCAGTTTTATGAACAAAAGAATGTACCTGCTTATGTGAGTGACTCCTTATCCTTATTGCTGTTGGTTAGAGATATCCAAAGGGCACTTTTAGCTCCTGCAATTCTGCCCAAAGCTGCACCTCATCCAAGTGGGGAATCTGAAGAAGCAGTAGCAGCAGAAGGTATCTTTTTATAATTTTTCCATGAGACTATTTCTGCCCTCTGGCCCACTGATTTTCAAAGAACCTTTTAAAGTACAGTTCTGAGCCTGCTTTGAAAACTTGAAAATACATGATTTTCTATAAATAGTGTGGGACTTCCTTCTCTCCTGCATTTCTTAGAAATCACAGTATTTAGATACTGATGAGATCAGAAAAGCAATATGGTTCATGGAGTACCATTCTCTTGAATTATGCATGTTAGCAGATATGGCATGTTCAACTTTCAGACATTATTTCAGTTCTGCAGTTAAAAAACAAGGTAGAAAAACAAAATCAGTTTTGTCTTCTTGAGACACATCAGGGAGCAATGTTCCAAAAATGGAAAGGAGAAGCTCATGTCTCTTCAGAAGTCTGTGGAGCAACCCGAGTGTACTTTGGAAGGGAACATAATCTGTTCTAGTCAAAACGTAGTAATTCTTTATACTTTCTGTACTATCAGTACTATCCCACATCATCCTTGAACAGAGCTGTTTCTTAAATGCCATATTTTTATTTATATTAGTTGAGAAGTTTGAAATTATTTCTTAGTGTTGTTCATTAGGAGCCATTGACAGAGGAATTTGGTAACTACTGAAGAATGGTACAACCTGGCTAAATTGAAGGGGAAGAGTTCTTTTAGTATGGATGTTATGTTGAAATTAACTTCAATCCATCCACTAAAAAGTTTTTAATTTCATTACACATGCTCCAGAAATTAATTTCTTGTTTAGTATTCTTGACTGGCTCTGCTGTAGCTCCTTTTTGCATGCAAATTCAAAACCATACAGCTTAATTCCTCATACTTGCTTCCAACCTCTAATTTATCACAATTGAATCATTGTTCTCGAGTTCAGCGTGCAATTAGTGACTGCCTGTTTGAATAGATGCACCTTTCTCTTTCTAAAAGTCAGGCTGCTAGATTTTCTCTTCTGCAATCTAATTTGCTTGAAGGCAAGTGCATTATAGATAATTGCAGAATGGCAATGAAAGAGATGTGCTCAGTTCCTATTTTATCAGGCTTCCTATGCTTGGTGAGTTCTCCTATTACTTTAGTTGCTCTGCTTATGTTACTGTTCCTTTTTTTCGAGGAATGAATTCCTAGTTTGGATGGTCAGTAAGATAAAAGCCTTTCTTTTGTGTCTTATGAGCTCGGAACCTTCTTGTGTGACTGCTGTTTACTTGAGTATCAAGTGCTTATCTTCTCATGCTTCCTTCTGTGGCTTACTCTTACCAAGAGAGTTTTTATTATCTTCAACCCACACTACTTTATTTTAAAAGGTTGTTTTCCTCAAAGCTTTCAGTGAGAAAATAGGACCTGAAAACATATAATCTATAATAAATCTCATCTCTTATATTGTGTAGCTGCTTATGTGATTTGTGAACTTTTGATCACAAAGGTGAGGAGGTCTGGTTGTGTTACCTAAAATAGAGGTTACAGTATTTTCATAACATTTCTAATCTATACAGGAAAGCAAGCAACTCCCAAAGCCTTTATTTCCAAATACTATGGAGAACGTGAAAGAGCAATTGAATTACAATGTGCCTCAGAGCAAGTAAAAAGAAAATTGCTTCTGCAAAGAAATCTCTAGTATAATTTTGTCACTTGGCTGTTTGTACCTACCATTTTGGCCCCATATATTAATCCTAGCAGATAACTATGTAATCACCATACTTTATATAATAGGGGAGGAAATGAAATGAAAGCAGTTGATGGAGAAGAAATGGAAATTCAGTGTTATAAACAGTGAAGTACAAAAGAGTAAGAACTAGTAGTGAAATATGAACCAGTTTGACAAATTAAAGCCAATTTTAATAAAATTGGAAAAAAACGCAATTAAAGCTTTCATGATACCTTAATGCCAGAGAAACATTGAAGAAAATCTTTGAAAATAGCTATCTAATTTCAAAGCTTTGAGTCTTGACTGTTTATTTCTTTCAAATATTGGATAATTAATTAGTTAATAATTGCAGATTTAGGGGAGGTAATATGGTAATATGTATAATTTTTCTAATAATAGCTGCATATTTCATTGTTTTGGGGGATTCTTATAAGGAGAAAGGATGGTCTGGTTACTGTTTATAATATTTATAAAGTTTACGTTAATTGGCAGTAAACTAAGTGAATTTCCTCAGTTAAGACTACCTTATCTGTGTGACTCTAATTCCAGAAAGCATTGCAACACCACAATTACCTGGGCAAAAAAGAGCTGATGGAAAGCAAAATGGTGGGGAGAAATGTGGTATTTCGTAAGTTGTCCCTTGTGAGTGGTCAGTGGATCCACAAGAGTGGATCACTTGTTCGATCTCACGTAATGGGGGGAAATGAGCTTTTCCAGGGGTGTGGTTTTTCCATTTATACAGCTTGTTTTAATGAAGCAGGAACTTAGAAGTGCTGTTGAACTTGCTTTATTTTACCCTTCTTGGGAAAATTGAGTTTTCATACTTAATCACTAAAACATGACAGAAAATATCTGAAGCATGTACCACCTATTTTCCTTTCATCTAGATTCATTCATTAGCTTCCTTATAAAAACCCTCTAAGACACAATTAACCCTTTTTTAATACTGTGAAACTTGAAACAATCATCAAAACTCATTAAAACAGAGAAACTTACTTTCAAAAGCAGTTTAATATTAAAAGTATCTTGATTTCTTTTCTTGTGGATAGAGTAGAATACTAAGGGTATGGGCATCATGATTCCAGTCTTAACTGGCTATTCAAGTAATTAATGATAATTGGTTGCTTTGCATTGCAGAACTGCGCTTCGTGATAGAAAATTATTTCATCAAAGGATCTTCTGTAATGGAATGTTTTCTTCTGAGTATGCATCATATAATAATGATACTGTCAGCAGGTCCTTTTTGTCCAGTAAGAAGAAAATATAATTGAAGATAAAAATGCATTACCCGAAGTGTTGCTCTTTTCTCCCTCTTTACATTCTCCTGTATTGTGAGTCGTGCTATTTCCACAAGAAAGCAAAAATCTACTCAGGTTTTCTGATTTACCAAGTTATTTTTGTGTTGAACATCCTTTAAAATGCACAAACATGCAGTTAGTTGTATTTTCAGTACTAACTTCATTGCATTTGTGTTAAAATACACAAAGGTTGAATTTTATCTCAATTTAAAAAAAAAAAGTAATTTGTTGATATTTTGTTAGTTGCCTATTCTGTTCCTGGCATTATGTAAACAATCACAGAATGGAGAAATTGATTAGAATTGCCAAAATTCAAAGTAACCTTCCAAGCTTATAGGCAATGTTTTCATTCTGCATGTTTTTGCAGGATGAAAATGACTAATTGCAAAGAGAACTATCATGAAGTAAAATAGTGACTTTAAGCAATAAACTGCCTTGGGTTTACAGAAACGGCAATAAAATTATCATATAGCAGTGTCAAAGTGTTGATTTATTTGTACTACTAATATTAAAAGTAATGAAATTGTAGGATTTACAGGTATGGTTATAGCATTTGCTATCTGTTTTATTATTCAGCTCAACAGGTATTGTATTGTACAGTCATAAGGTATTTCATAAGCTAGCTTTTACTGAAGAACAATATTCATAGGAAAATAGCTCTGATATTTAGTCTTCTGTCACAGAAGTGATCATACTGGATCTTTATATGGGTCCTTTGTTGCTACACTTCTTATTTTATCTTTAAACTTAAAAATAAAACTAGGAAAAGGATGTGCTTTTAATTTTTGTCAACTATATTTGGTAACTAAATTCAAAGTAGTTGTATTTTCTAAAATATGTGACGTGGAAACAAGTGCCCTTTTGAAATATGAGCAGGATGATATATGTTCTGAAGGTGCTACTTGTTATATATTTAAAAACATTGGATAACTAGTAGAACAGGATTTTCAGAACTGCTCAGCATCAGCCTAATTGTGTCCAGAAGAGACTGAAAAATGAGAGGACTCAGACCCATCCTTAAAAATCTCATGTGGCTGTGTGATAATATTCTTATCTGCTTCCTCAGCGAAGTTAAGATAAAATTCCACTTAAAATTACAAACCCAGTGAGAAATGTGCTAAAAACCTATGTACAGGCAGATGTGAATGCTGTAATCTGCCAGGATTCCTCTTACTTGATGGAAAGCAAGATACGATAGAGACAAAAATTTTGAAGAAAAATGATTTAAAGGTAAAATGTATTTGGATACATATTTGTATAGAGATAAGACAGCATTATGAGTGAGAAAGTATAACATGAATTGCCATTGACGGCAATGTAGACGTTTTAAGAAACAACAAAAGTTATAAAAATGTATTGCTGATATGTGCCTTGTTAATAAGATACCCTAATTCTAATCAACCATGCAATTATTTCTAACAATCTTTTCAGCTTAGCTGCTACGACTCCAGAATGCAAAGCTTTCTCAACCGCAATGATTTGCTCTAGCTACTTATCAGTACACTGAAAAAAATACTGTGATTCTTTATAAAGCTGTCCTTATCCTTCTTTTTAAGGTGTGGGATGCTGTAGATACAGGCTGCTGTTTAAAAACATACTCCTGTCACTCCTGTGCTGTTCGAGCTGCCCGGTGGTCGTCTTGTGGGAGAAGGATCCTCAGTGGGGGCTTTGATTCCACACTGCATTTAACAGATGTAGAAACAGGTAAAGGTCATGAAGGGTACATTATAGCCCTTTCTTTATTGTGCCCAGATAACTTGGGATCTTGTTAGCCTTATTCTTTCTTATAAAATATATATAAAATCTGTACGTTAGAGTCCCTGAAACATGCCCTTACTTTAAAAAATATATCCTGGCAACTAAGAGTAGTTGGCGAAATTTGAGAAAATTGGAATATCTTTAACTTCATGATCACATGTAATTTCTATGGTCAGATACTACACAGCTGAATAGAATGAAATGTGTATTTTTCATGCTCAGTCATGGTCATTTGTTAAAGTGTTTGAAGAGCCTCTTAAAGCTGCCTTCAGTAAAATTTATACATATGGTTAATTGAAGCATAGGCTTGTATCTCATTCTCAGTTGGGTTGGTTTTAAGTTTGTGCCTAAAGTTAATTGGGTGGTTTGTTTTTATTTGTTTGTTTGTGGTTTGTTTTGTTTTGTTTGTTTTTCTGTGGGTTTTGGTTTTTTTTTTTTTTTTTCCCCTGAACAGACTTCTGAACTAGAAACTTAAATTCTGGTATGAAACCTTAAGACTGAACTTGGGTTGCTTTGATGCATTTGTGGATTTGATTTGGGATTTGATTGTTTTAACCTTAACAACTAATTTCCTGAATGCTGTCTCTTCTCTTCCCTTCACAAACTGAAGTGCTTCTGTCAGTTTTATCTCTTCTCTCCTTTATGTATGTTACCAGCATTCATACAGCAGTGTTCACCAGGGCTGTGCATAATAGGACATCTCTGTGTGTGTGTGTAAATGAAGTAGGTCCAAAATAGGACTCTGTCAAGAGAAGAGATGGAATTTTATCTTTTTCACCTAGTTTATTTTAAAGTGTTTAACTCCTGCAAAGGTGCAGTATTTCTTGTAAGACTACAGTAAAAATTCTTACAAACATTACCAGCAGTTTTTGTCTAAGAGGATTTTCTCTTACATAAAAGCAAGGACCACATTGTATTTGAATATCTGGAGAGCAGAAATCCTATTCAGATGAACTGGGAAAGTGGCCAAGGAAGTTTGTGAATATTGTTTACATGAGAAGAAGATTCTTTTCCTTGCTCTAAGAGTTTGTTTTTCTCAACAATTTTTGTACCAGAAGTATTTAAATTCAATGATGGCTGAAAGGGAGCTGTTGTAGTGTGGGAATGTAAAATATGTTATGAAATACTGATGTTCTGAGAATATTCAGGTTTTTTAAGGGGGGAAAAAAGCTTTATATATCTGATGTAGTAGTACATGAGGTTAATATATCAAGTCATTAATTTGTTAGACTTCTTGTCTTTTTTTGTTTTCAGTCTTAATACAGCAACCTTTCTTATCTCACATATTAATTTAATAATCCAAGTGAATTTACTTTTGTGTGTAATGCTTACAAATTCTAAACAGAATACTTGTCTTTTGAATGGGATTTATAGTAGTACTATAGATTTTATGTGTCTGACTCATTTGAAGGGACTACTGCGGGAAAAATCTCATTTCATTAAATCATTGCACAAATTCCAAAGATACGTAATTTAAATCATATACTTTAATTTCTAACATCTCTTTGACTTAACTATTCAGTAATGGGATAGTAGTCTGGATTAAGTTGATTGTAGTAGTTCATTGACACTGCTCTAGGAAATGACAGCAGTAACAAGACATATTTACTAAGTTTCAAAGCAGATAAGTTTATAAATGGTTCTTTCCTTATTGATGGGTGAGTTATGTAATGTTTCTAGCTACTTAAATAAATTATATGTGTAAAATGAAAGCTTATATCCTTGGAAATACCCGATATTCATTATTGCCTTATATAAAGAACACAGAAGCCCTTGTATATTGTCTGAACTGCAATTGTCATGTTGATGTTTGGACCTGTCTTTCAGAGGTACTCACTTCATTTGGAAAAGTGTAATATGAGCGATCAGAATTTTAGTCTGATTTCCTACGCATGCAAGGCAATTTCTGAGTTCCTTCCCTGTTGTAAAGTTACTCTTCTTTTCATACATTTCAGTCAGTTCCTTTCAGAGAAACAGGGTGAGCAGTTTGCCTCTGGAATTCAAATCAATTTGATATAAAAAGCCTCATTTCCATTTGAAAACCACTAAAGCAGCTATAAGATTTTGATTTACATTAGTTCACTGAATCATTCATTCTTCCTCACTCTTCATCAGTGTTGAGATGATTTCTTCTTTGATTAACTTCAGATAGATGTTAGAACTGCTCTTTCACAGAGGATTTTCAGATACCTTTTTGGACTTCAGTCTTAATTACTTTCCATTGCTAGTCTGAACTAACTAGCAGCATGTTTAAATGCAGTAAATGCACACCAATGGGATTTTATAAATAATAATGCTTTCCTTAAGGCTCTATGCTCTTGTATCTTGTATATTTTGTTCCGGTTCAACACTTTTCCTGTGTTGTTTGCTAAAATGTAATCTTTCTTATCTTTGTTTTCAGTACAAATTTTATATATTACATCTGTGTTATAAAAATTGCTACATGTCCTTCACTAAAAGAAACCTAATGGTCTGAAGAGAATTATTTTAAAAGCTTAGGAAAGGTTGCAAAATACAGCTTAGTACATGCATGGTACTGAGCTGCTCAGGTGTGTTTTTTGGTGTTTTTTTGTTGTTTGGTTTTTTTTTTGGTTTTTTTTTTTTTGGTAATTTTCTGTTGGTTTTCTGCTAGGAACATAATTTCTGCCCTATTAAATCAGAAATGTTGTCTGGCTAATTGTTACGGGTCTGATGACAGCTAGTTATGACATTCCTCAGAGGAATGTACCAGCATAGTTTTAACAAACAGTGCTGGAAAAATTCTCCAGGAAATTTTGTTTCGAAGGTTAGTTTGGGTATCCCTTGTCCTAATATATTTCATTTTCTGGAGTGATTTTTTTAATCTTTATGATCTGAACAACATCCGAATAGAAGCAAACACGGAAATCCTATTAATCAGGAAACATAATTTTTGTTATTGGCGTAGAATTCCTGATGTAAGGATAGAAAACATATCCTGAAATCTTATCCTGCAGTTTTACACCATCAGACATCTTACCCTTGTCATGTGTATTTAATGAAAATTCTTATGTATAAGAATATCTAAGATGTGGCAAGCAAAAAACAATGGGCTGATAGGAATCTCATGAAGTTCAGCAAGGACAAATACAAAGTCCTGCATCTGGAATGGAGTAATCCTGTGCAACAGAAGAGGCTAGTGCTAAACTGGCTAGAAAGCAGCTTTGCAGAAAAATATCTGGGAGTTGTAGATGCTGAATATGAATCAGCAGAGTTCCCTTGCAGCAAAGAACGTCAACTTCATTCCAGGCCAAGTTAGGGAGTATTTACCTGGAACGCAGAGGAAACGATGCCAAGGCTCTTCTCAGAGATGTGCAATGAAAGGAAAAGAGGCAAAGGACAAATACAGAAACATGGAAACTTGTTGCCTCAACTCAAGGGTCATCAAACACTACACCAGGCTGTTTAAAGAAGCTGTGCACTTCAGTGGACAGACCCATAAGTAGCCTGCTGCAGCTGGACCTAATTTGAGTACAGATTTGAACTAGATGAGTCCAACCTGCATGATATGATGAAGAAGAACAGGGAGAGAGAAGAGTTCAAGTTGATGACTTACAATGAGTTCTCTTGTCCTGGTTGGGTTGAAAATAGATGTTGTGCAAGCCTTTTTTTAAGCTCGATTTTTGTAGATTGCCCTTTATTATCTGCAATGGTCCTAACACCAGGATGTCAAGCTAAGACTCTCCACAAATATGGTTTTTCTTCATATGGTTGTGCACATTCAGAGTTATGGGTCTAATCCAAAATATTCATAAAATCTTTAAGGAACTCAAGGTTATTCATGAGTCTTTCACACGAGTGGTTCTGTGGTTGCACTTTGCATGAGGCAAGTTGAGTACTGCAATATGGAGCTTTGTAAATATTGGTAGATCCAAAATCTGCAGATGTGCTGCCTGGTACTAGTTAATATTTTTTTTATTGTTCTATTTTATACACATTATTTCTTTATAAAAATAAAGCCTTTTGAATGGTTTCACAAATGTGATAATAATGCAGCAATCTCAGACTCCCTAGTTTTGTTCATCTCTAATAACACCACACACACTTACAGTCATTTTCTACTACTGATAGTCCAGACACTTTGTTATTTACAGAGTAGTAAATAGTTATATTCAGAGAGTACTGAAAAAAATTGCTTTTAAAACAATTCTAGGTCAAGTACATTTGACATCTACCTTCTGTTACATCCAGATGTAATGGAGATGCTCTACCAACTTTAGAAGGGTAATTGTATTTTTAAAATTTATTTATAACTATTTTATTTTTGGAATATATGTTTTATTCATCAGTGGATTTTTCATTAGTCACAAATGAATTGGTATAATAGCATAGGCAGAACATTGGCTGGGTTGTTACTATTTGCATATTGTAGATACTTTTCATTTCTTTAATATTATGACAGAGAGAATGTTCCAAGAAATTTTGGCACATTTCCTATGTTACCAAATGCTGCAGTTGTATTTTAGTTCATGGACTGAGCTTGATTTCAACTATCATTTCCACAGAGTTAAAATGGGAGAGAGAGTTTCTTAATGGAACATTTTGTACCTCCAAGAGGGTGGTTCTAATTTCATCTTCTATGTATTTTTTTCTATTCTAATTTGGTAGTCCTATAGATATAACATTATTATTGTTAATGTAATTGTATTTGTTCACGTAGGAGTTTTAGTTCTCATACCTAAACATCTTAGGAGAGCTCTGACTTTCTTCTGTTCCTCCCATTCTCTCCCAATACTATTTAGATAGTATGTTTTAAAATGCAGTAAGGTTTTATGTGATACCTTAGAAAAAAGCCCAGTTGATTGATATTTTTCTGTTTGCTTGTTTTATTTTTTTTTTCTTTTGAGTGCATGGAGACACACTTGATATGAGGTCCAAGGTTTCCCCCAAGATTCAGCAGTTTTGTGGAATATGTTGAATATAGTTTAGATGTCACTCTCCAGCTAGGAAGTAACAGCATTTTGCTTTTTATACTTATTGATGTAAAGGCTTTGCAAAAAGAAGAGAGAAAACGATTTATTTTGGGGGCATTTTAAAAATTAAAAGATAAAATGAATTATTATTTCAAGCATCTTTGCATGCTGTGAACTTGTGAATATGTAGGGGAAAAATTAGGAAAAACGTGTAGTTAATATAACTTTGGTTCTTGAAAAAATAATAAGGCCATTTATGAGCACACCAAGATACTAAATGGAGATGTAACAGCCAACACTGATTTGTTAGGAACAAATTATATCTGATCAAACTAATGTTTTTTATTACTATTGTGCATGAGAGAGATTGTCACTGTAATGAAATTTTTTTTATATTGTCTTATGTCTTTTTGTAAACACAGTAGGGAAATCTGTTCTGTTTAGCAAGATTGTTCTTGTGTCCTTGTAAATCTCACACTTCACTTTTTTTCACCAGATAGAGTAAGGAAGTAAATGATTTTTGGTTATGCAGGGAGGTATGTGAAGCTGAGGACCACTAAACACAGTTACAGAAGCATCCTGTGCTGGTAACTGTGCTGATGTTCTGTGAAAAATTCACAATGTTAAATAGCCTTTAAAACATCTGATTTCATAGTTGAGCACTTTCACAGTAGGCTGCTACATAAAGAAGCAGAAACATGCATTCAGCGTATATTTAAGGTATTTTTCCATCCTGTGTATGTGAGCGGTGAGCCTGTAATGCATGAAGAATTGAATTAAAGCCTTTAAAGACTGTAAAACACACTGCAAAAATATAATATATATTGTTACTGAAATTGTGAAAATTAAAGATTGAGAGGAAAATTTACTTTTTGCTTTGGAATAACAGACTCTCATACAAGAAAATGATATGTGGTATGGATTTTCCTTCAGTTAGCCAAAGAGGTTTTCAGAAGATGTAATTTTCTAGACTATGAGTTGGTTGAATCTTTGTAATGCTGCCTATAGGAACTAAAATGTGATAAATATATACACAATAAGGGTATATACAACCTTGCTGAATTACACCTTTTGTATTCTGTTGTGGATAAGGGAGTCTTCTGCTCAAAGGCTATCTTTTGCAGTATGTAAAATAAGGCCCACCAAAGTTGAATGTTTAATGTTAATAAACTGAATAATTGTAAAAAAAAAAAAAAGTAACTGTAAATAATGATTTTCAGAAAGCTGGAGGAGGATCTCTAGCAAGTGCTGAAGCTGGATTTCCTAGCTGTGGGGATAGTTCCTTCATAGCAGGGAAAGCAGCAAATTCTGCTCATAGTACTATAACACACTAAATAAAATTTCTACAGAAAAAGGCTAGGAGTTGAACTTATTCTTTTAAATTACTGAATTGAATGAGCTAATTTGCTCCATCTCATCTTCTGCATTGATCTGTTCCATCTCTCAGATGGACATTTTTCCTAAATTTCTGAAGTTCTGGAAGTGTATCGTGCATAAATTTTAAATCTGGCAATAGGAGGGTTTTCCTTTCTGTAACATTGTGATCCTCCCCTTTTGAGTATGTTTGCTGCTGCTCAGCTTCATTTACATTCTAGTCTTGCTTCTTTTCTGTGACATGGCAATAAAATGAAAATAATGTATACATCTAATAATGCCAAACTCTTTAGAACACTGTACTCAGTTTCCAAAAAGAGATATTTGATTAAATTTCACTTTTGGGGAGTGAGAGGACAAGAGAGTGAGTTGTATTTCAAAGTATTAATTGGAGAGCCTGACTTTGTAAGATTAATGGTTAATATCTGCATTAAGTGGTAAGGTAGCAGCTTAAAATAGGAAAAAGAAGGAGATAAAGAGTGTAGGAGTGAGTAAGATTCTAATAGTTTTCATTTATTTTATTTATTATTACACTGTAATGTAGAATTCATAACACTGGGGTTGTTATGTTTTAATTATATTAGTGACTATCGCTTAGAGCTTTAGGATAAATAACAGCCTCTAAAAGACAAGAAAAGGGCAAATACAGTGCCCATTTCTCTTTTAAACAGGGGGAGACAGAGTAGGGAATTGGAGCATTTTAGTTTCTGGAGAAAATATCAGGCGAATGATTGAATTATTTGGAAACAGCTGGAGATAAAATTGAGTAATTAATAACAAATGATGTTAAATCAGTCTTTCTGTGGAAAAGGTAACATCTTGTAGTTAGTAGATGAAATGCATCTTGAATTTAATGCACATCTTTTTGGTTGACTTCCTTGTGTCTTAGGCTGGAGAACATGAGTACACATTATAGAAAAAGCAGTTTTCAGAAGTCTTGTGTAGGTAAAAACAAAGTAAAGGCAGTGTTTGTCAAAAGGTTTAATGGTGAGTTCTACTGGATCACTTATCTGTATGTCTAATGCCGTTTGGACAACACACTTTGTGGGGAACAGTGATCATTTTTTATTAAATAATCATTTATTAAGTTGTGTGACAGGATTAGTACAGGTAGGCTGCATTTATGCTAATTTCTGGCTGTAGTCCCATTGAAAACTTGTTGATTATACTCCTGGAGTTTTTATTAAGCTGGGAACAAGCAGGAACCAAATTCCTTTGGGAGCAAAATGCTGTTAAACTGACTAGTGAGCCTCCGTGGGGAAATTCAGTATTTTCTTAAGTGCTGTGGGTGAGAGTGGCTTTTCTAAAGCCCTCTCAAATGACACCTGATAGTGTTGTACATGAGAGCAATATCTTGTTGTTTCTATAACTGATGATTTTAATACTTTCTTCTTTCCCCTTGGCGTCTTTTTCTCCCCCTGTAGCTGTTGGGGAACTGAAAACTCCCATGGAGAGAGATGGTCACTGTTAGATATGACTTGTTGAGAGAACCTCTGCTGCCCTTATATCGCGAGGGGGGGTTGTCCCCGCAAAAGACCCTAGGGCACACTTTGTATAGGAGACAGCCACACAGAGTGACCCACAAAATGGTGTTTATTAAAACAAGATGTCAGTTTATATACAGGGGAGCATAGAAGAGCCTGGAACAAAGGAGGGATTCTTGCTAGGAAAATCAAATCCTAAGGGTCAGTGATAAGGGAAAATGGAGGGATTGGCCGCAGGGAATATGTCCAGCCATCTAGGGAGAGTTAGGAGTTACGGAGGAAGGGAAGGAGGGGTCTGGGGTACAAACAGGGGAGTTGTACAGAAGTTTGTGAGGCTGCTTCCTGTAGCTGGGTCTCTAGGCAACCCCTTGCAGTTGCAGTTGTTCTTCCTCTGAGGCTTCCTTGCAGCCTTTCTGCATCTCTCTCCATTCTCTGTAGGATTCCGTCGGTCCACCTCCGACATCCTTATGACTTTTTTTTTCTCATTTTGGAGAAGAAACTTATGGACTAAATTAAGTGTTTCACTTAGTAGTGACAAAGCGGCCCTTGAGACCTTGCATGGGCAATCAGTGGAGAATCATTTTTAAAAGGGCAAAAATCCCCTGCAAATACCAATATTCACGTACAATGACACTCATGTCTTCCTTACGCTCCCTACAGTCTATTTTCCTTCCCCTGCTAGCTTGGTGAGTGCATGGGATGAAGTAAAATCTTTTTCTTCTTATCTTTAAACTGAATAAATAAATCATTTGATAAGTTTTAGCCTCTTGAGTGTGTAAAATGAGTTCTGCAGATGGAGAAAATGGAACTGGTGATGAAATAAAATGAATTGGCCCCAGATCATGAAATAAGCATAAAAAATCTATATGAATGATTTTCAGTATTGTACACCTCAGAGTAAGTATTTACATCTGTCAGTAATGTTTTTAGCTGAAAGTATTTTCTCTGGAAAAGTTCTATAAAATAACCTAGCTGAATTCTGCTGCCTTCAAAAGTGTCAACAATCCAATTGATACCAACCACAGGATCCTGTGGAGATCAGTGAACACAATTAAATGTTGGGAGCAGTGTATCCATGGGAACAGCCTTCATATGATGGTATGCAAATTATTTCCTACTTTCATGATGAAGTTTCACTCCTACCTTCACAGAAAGACAAGTAAACAACTCAGGAGTTGTAATATAGATTGAGATGTGCTATTTCTGTACAGACAATGTTTTTTCTAGTTATTTTTGTCTCACTGAAACGAAGACTCTGGCATCTCTGTAAGGAAACATTCAGCCATTGGATTTGTAGATTTATTCCTGCCTATTGACTGGACTGGAACCTTGGTGGAACTCCTCTCCTTAGTGTGGGAAACCACTCGTTCTCTCCTTTTGGTAGGAAGCAGTCAGTGGTGCAGAGGCCTATAAGCAAGAGCAGTCTCATGTGAGTAGTACTCATAGAGTAGCCCCAGCTTGAAATGTGTGATATAAGCATGTTCACCTTTGACAACCTTGATATTTTTCAAACTAAGTTGCATATTTAATTTTCTGCTCAAATTTTGATCTTCACTTTTCACTTTATTTTAGGGAAGCAGGTATTTAGCAGCAAAACAGAATTTAGGATCAGTGCTCTCAAGTTCCACCCTACAGAGTCAAATATTTTCCTTTGTGGAGGGTTCAGCCCAGAAGTTAAAGCTTGGGATATAAGGACTTCTAAGGTAAAGAAAATATTTTTTTTTTTCTATTTTAGAATGTTTCCTAGGCTATGTATGCTGTGTTTTACTGAGCTGCTAGATGTACTGTAATGTTTACTCTGAAGTATTTTGTATTTGTCATTGACTGTGTTCCTGTTTGTTGATGTGAACCTCTGTAATGTTTTTTTAGTGCTAAGAGGAACATTGTACACAAAAATCCTATTTTTTTCTGTCTGTAAATATAAGAAACATCTATTTGAATTAAACAAAGCCAATAGCTCACTTCAGGATTGTGAAAGGCAGTTGTGTTCTAGGAAGCAGTAAAGGTAACTTGCTCTTCGAGCTGTTGCGTGTGGGTCAGGATGTGTTTTTCTGTACCTTGTGCGTAGAAGCCTGGAGTACTTTTTACATTCATGAAGGGCCACAGAGCTGTGCATAGCCTCTGCTCTTACTTTATTATGAACTGTGAAGAACAATGTGCTCCCAGCTGCCTTTCAGAGCTCAGGTAAGAGCAGAGCTATACTCTACCAGGGGGAAGCCTAAGGTAAATTGACATCCTCGTGCATGGAACAGTTCAAAGAGAAGCAGTGACCGTAAAGTGAGTAGTTCTTTGTTTTCCTTTGAATTTCTATGTGGGTGGAACCTACTCATTGTAGTTAGCCATCTGTTTGCTCTTGAGGATGGCAGAAGGGATCTGAAAACGATGATAAGATAGCGTATCAATAGTGCTTTCCCTTGGCACCAGACAAGGTATCAAACAGTATTTTATTCCAAATAATGAAGACAATAAATGTGTTTGTCTCCTAAAGCAGCTCTTTCCTTTCAGGTTTTAAATTCTGATGGTGCCTCAGCTCAACCACAACCAAAGTGTCAATTGATATGTCTGGCAAACCTAATTGTAATTCACACCTGCATAAATATAGATTCATAAAACAGGTGATCAGGCATTGGAACGGCCTGCCCAGAGAGGTGGTGGATTCACCATCCCTGGAAGTTTTAAAAAAGAGATTGGACATGGCCCTTAGTGCCATGATATAGTAATTAGAGTTGGATCAGGGGTTGGACTTGATGATCTTGGAGGTCTTTTCCAACCCAATCTATTCTATGATTCTATGATTCTATGATTTCCTTGTGGACAGGAGCAGATATGGAACAGCATGTGCTTTTTAACCTGGGCAGAGGCTGCAAAGCAGCACACACATCCCAGGCTGTGATTGCAAAATATTGTCACCCACCTTAGCCTGATGTTCTGCTGAGGGTGCCTGCTACAGAAATATATGCGTCTCTGTGATGCAAGACGGGAGTTGGCTGATTGACAAAGGGTGATTTGACTGTATTGGAAAGGTTTGTTGGTGAAACTGTTCCTGAAAACTGGCAGTAGAGAGGAAACACATGTCCTTCACCAATGAACAGTGTAGCTGGAATGGGGAGAAGACAAGTAAAGAGGTGTAGACATAGTTTACCTGAGGCATTATACCAGTGAGGAGCAGACTAATGCGTTGAGATGGAGGTTCAGTAGCAGATGGATGTGCAATTTGTGAGGTTCTGACCTTTGTAAAAGGCACTTTAACGCAGCAAAGGAGCAAGCCCATCCTGATAAACTAGACTTTAGTAGCCTTCCTGTTCATACCTTCTATAGTTCTGACTACCAGTAGCCTGGTTTGAGACGATGTTTTGATACAGTAACTTTTATGTAAACTACATATCTGTCAAAATTGCAGAGGAAAACTGCAGTTTTCAGTATACTACCACTTCACAGGTTCTAGAAACAATAGCTATGCTTAGGATCACCTTTGTGTGGATTGCAGGGGATGACATAAACTGTGTGTGTCAGTATGCAAAGCCAGTAGTGAACACTTTAGGTGAAAACATCTGTGATTCATTTCCAAAAGTCAAACAAAACCAGTAAAAATCATTTATATCTCTGTAGAAGGGGAACCTGAATACTTAGCATTTTATTAATTTAATTATACATTAAGTCTAAAACATCTCTCATGTTTTTTACTAATTAGGAGATGTATTATCTTTATGTTATTTAAACAGTATTTTATTGTATCTTTGTGCTTTACTGCCCAACTGCATCTTTTTTTGACCCCTTGCTTGAGGGCCTGGATGTGATGTCTTTTTCAAATGGGTAGAGTGGTGTATTTGTGTTTTCATGGGCCGTTCCCTTTCCACTTTTAATACCTTTGCCAAGGGAAAGGGTACTCATGACTCGTGACTGTTACATTATGAATGTTTCTCTTTGAGTGACAGTACTGCTGTTATGTGCAGTATGTCACAGCACTGCATGCTGTGGCATCCCTCGATCCCATCTTACGGTGTGATTTCTCAAAAGGTAGTGTGTGCCATGGCCAGGATGGTATATACAGCAGAAAGGAGACTAACAGAATAATGTGGTTTTATCTCTATGACTAACCATAGTCTTCATCTTTGCAACGCTGAAGATCCAGCTCTCCTTGAAGAGCTGTTGATCCCAGGGAATTGCACATAGCATTTGTACCTGCAGGACACCCCAGCGTTTAGAAATATTATGTGTAACTGTATTTCTGGGAGCTGATGCTAATGAAGAGACAAGGGAAACATCCTACTGTTATTACAACCAAATAATTTACTTTCTGAGACAATAAAGAAGTGAATGAATATGTATTCTGACAGGTAAAATAGGAAAAGTTTTAGACCAGGTAAAACAGAAATCCCAGCATGTTTCTTTTGTATAGATCCTGTACTGGGCTGTCTCTGGAAGTTTTTAGAAGTTGTAACCTACTTTGTTCATTACGAAACAATTATATTCTTGTAGAACTTCACCACTTGAAAACTAGCCAATTAGGTAGTGCATGAGGAATATTAATTTTAATAACCAGCAGTGTCTAATCACCTTAGAAACTGGAAGGCCTGGTAACAGATATTGATCCTTTTTTTAGATTTTTTATATGTTTGCTCATTTGAAAACCATAAATTTTTATGCACTGTGATTGTCTAAAGCAGCAGTGTGGTTCACTGTCTTACTCTGAAACATTTCTAAAAGGGGGAGAGAGCTTCTATTATCCTTTTATTATTTTTTTATCCTGCCATCTAAGGTAGTTGATGCTCAGTGATAGGCTGTTAGACACTTAGATTTGTATTGGTCTTAAAATGTAAAGAACTCTGCGTGTGTGTACTGAGTGGATGTGGAAGGTCACAGATGAGTGGAGAAAGGGGGTAAAATATCAAACTTCGATTTGATTTTTTATGGCTGCTTGATGCAGAGTGGTGAGTATCACCTATACATCACTTCTGCAAAATAATGTAGTTACATTTCAAACTCTCAGCCATGGAACCCTGTGTTGGTTAGGCATGAATTATCAGCATCATCGGTGTGCTACATCTGCTTCTCCCTAGTGTGGGGATTTCAATGAGTTTTTCAGGTGTTCCTGCTTTCAGCTTATATTGTTATCTTTATTCACATATCTTTTCCGTCTTACACTGTTATAGCCATATTAGGACTAGATAGTGTCCTGACCAATATTTTGAAATTTATCCTATCCCAGCAAGTGCAATTTGCTCTTAACTGAAATAGATGTCTGAGGCTTCTTGCCACTTTGTTTCAATTTTGATGCAAACATCCTTTATATCTTTCAAGTGCTTTCATCCTAATTCATTACAAGATTTTCCTGTTTTGCCTGTTCTTTCAAGTGTGTTATCCTGTCATTCAGCTTGGAATGATGTGTCGGTGAGCTAATGATTCTTTTTGTTCCCATCATCATACTCCTGATAGCCTTTTCAGGCTTTGCAGCATATTTTATCAATAGAGTGAGTGCCGTAAATCAGGAGTCTGAATCTTGCACATTGCACATTGAAACCTCAATTTCAGCATTGGCTGATAATTCAGTTTCAGGGGTCATTCTTTAGGATGTACTCCTGTGTTTTAGCAAGTCTTAAAATTAACTGTGAGGCAAAAGGATAATTGTATATCAAGAAATAAGTGGATTTTTCGTGGAAATTCAGAGCAGAACATTAAGCATCACAGAGGTAGAATGAGTGAAAATATTGTCCAATTACACATATATGCAGTAGTTTAAATGGGCTTCTTTCTGCCGTTGTGCCACAATGGTGCTTTCTGCTTATGGAAAATGACATAGAATAGCAGATAGTGGTATTTTTCAAAATTAGTACTTCTGACCAGGGCCATAAATTTATGAGCATAAATTGCTGATATTTATTCATGACTTGAATGTGGTACAAAAATTGGATTTCCAAGTCCCAGAGAAAATGTATCAAGGTAGGTTTGAGGCAGCCTTTCAGCTACTAAAACGTCGAGAAATTTTAGGACAGCTAATAGCATGCCTGCTTTACACAATGCAAACCTTGGTGACTTGTGTAAATTAATCTTTTCAGTTCAGCTTGACAGTTCAGTCCTGGTATAAGGGGAGTGAGCGAGTGGCTGCATGCTACTTAGTTGCTGGCTGGGTTTAAACCACCACAGGAATGTACATTAGGCTATTAATCAGAGAGGCAGATATAAAAGAAAAAGGAAGAATATTGAAAGAAACTTATTGCCATCCCTGTTCTGTTGAGCAAATAGGCAAAGTGGTTTCAAATGTAGCATTGGGTATTAAGCAAGACAAAGAATGAAAGAACAATAAGGGAGTTTAAATCTTTAAGATAAAGCTAAGCAATATGCTTCAGAGAAACGAATGGATGGAACAGCTTGTTAACTGCTCAGTGAAATGTAAAGTATATGGGCATCTCACAATTACAGAGACAAGTAATCAAAGCCTGAAGAAAAAGAAGAATAAAAGAGGTGGATGAATAGCCTGTAGAGATTTATTATAGTGGTATTTTTGTTTGTGTTAAACCCAGTTTTGTCTCTCTGGTGAAGAGATTATTCTGGAGATCTCATATTGCTGTATAACAGATTGATTGAATTTATGAAACATTTCGAGAATGTTTGTAGAGACTTTATGAAAAGACCAGAAAACTTAGAAGTGAGCTGCTATGTTTAAAAAAAAACAATCTGCAGTGTTGACCAAGGAGAGAGCATC